GAAAAAGTAGACTTCAAAGCAAGTAACATATTACCAAGGATTCAAAGGGAAAATTTAGAATGACCAAATTTCAAGTCTGGAAGGAAGTGAAACTGTCTCTATTTGCAGATGCTGTGACTTTATATACAAAACACTAAAGAATCTACTAAAAAATCCTTAAGAAATAATAAATGAATATGGTCTAGTTGCAGGATACAAAATCAACATACAAAAATCAGTTCCATTTCTGTACACTAACAACAAAGTAGCAGAAAGAGGAATTAAGAATACAATCCCAACTATAATTTCAAGAAAAAGAATAACATATCTAGGAATAAAAAAAAAATTTCAAGTCATCAAAAAGAAATACCAAACCTAACTGAATATGTGTCAAATTTCAGACCTTAAAAATTCAGGAAGCAAAATCTGCAGAACTGAAAGGAGAAATACATAAACCCACATTTATAGTTGGAGATTTCAACAAACATCTCTCAGTAATTGATAAAACAAGTAGATAAAAAATCAGTGATGGGCACTGGCCCGGTGGTGCAGCAGTTAAGTTTGCACACTCCTCTTCAGTGGCCCGGGGTTTGCCTGTTCAGATTCTGGGTGTGGACCTATGCACCGCTTGTCAAGACACATGCTGTGGCAGACGTCCCACATATAAAGTAGAGGAAGAATGGCACAGATGTTAGCCCAGGGCCAATCTTCCTTAGCAAAAAGAAAGAGGAGGATTGGCAGCAGATGATCGCTCAGGCCTAAGCTTCCTCAAAAAACAAAATCAACGATGACAGAAGAATTGAACAAAAACTATCAGCCAGCTGGACCTAACTGATGTTTAAGAACACTTCAACCAACAACTGCAGAAATAATTTTGTCAAGTGCACACACATCATTCACCAAGGTAGAGAATATACCAGGTAATAAAAAAAACTCTTCAAATTTAAAAACAATCACATCATACAAAGTAAGTTTTCTGACCACTGTGAAATTAAATTAGACAATACTAAAAAAAAATCTAAAAAATTCACACATGTTCAGAAATTAACAGACTTCTCAATAGTGTGTAAAATCACAAGGGAAATTAGGAAATATTTTGACTAAATTATAATGAGAATAAAATATGTTAAACATTGTAGGATCAGCTAATTCAGTTTCAGAAATATAACTATAGCTTTAAGTACTTCTATTGGAAAAACTAAGAAGGTCTAAAATAAATGGTTTAAGCTTCTTCTGTAAAAAGCTGAAAAACCAAAAACCTCCAGCAACTAAACTCAAAATAAATAGAAGGATGAAAATAATGAAGAATGCAAAAAAAATTGAAGAAGGCCCAAGCAGAAAAATCAATGAAATCAGAAGCTGTTTTTGTTTCGTTTTAAAGATCAACAAAATTTTCCTATGTCTCTGGTCTCTTTCGCTCGACAAAAGCTTTCTGAGATTTATCCATGTCGTGTATATGAATAATTTGTTCTTTTCTATTATTCAGTAGTATTCCATTGCATGAGTATATTACAGTTTATTTATTTTGTATTGTTTCCAGATTTTGACTATTATGAATACCGTTGATATGAACGTTCTTGTATAAGATTATGGTAAATATATGTTTTCATTTCTCTGGGTATCTAGGAGTAGAATACTTCGTGATATTGTGATTGTATGTTTAAAATTATAACAAATCGTTAAACTTTTTCTAAAGTAGTTGTATCATTTGACATTACTAATAGCAAAATATGAGTGTTTCCATTGCTCCACGTCTTTGCTAACACGTTTTATGATTTTAACCATCCTTGTGAATCAGAAATCGTATCTCTATGATTTTCATCTGTATTTCCCTGATAACCAAAGAGGTTGAAGGTTTTTTATGTGCTTATTTACTATCTGTGTATCTTCTGTGAAATGTCTGTTCAAACATTGTATTCATTTTTTTAATTGGGTTATTTGCCACCTTATTATTGAATTATAAGAGTTCTTTATCTCTTCTGGATACAAACCTTTTGTCCAATATGTATTGAGAATAACTTTTCTCAGTGTGGGGTTTATTGCTTCGTTTTCTTTTTTCTTTTCTTTTTTTTTTTGAGGAAGATTAGCCCTGAGCTAACTACTGGCAATCCTCCTCTTTTTGCTGAGGAAGCCTGGCCCTGAGCTAACATCCGTGCCTCTACTTTATATGTGGGATGCCTGCCACAGCACGGCTTGCCAAGCAGTGCCATGTCCACACCCGGGATCTGAACCGGCGAACCCCGGGCCGCTGAGAAGCGGAGCGTGTGAACTTAAGCGCTGTGCCACCGGGCCGGCCCCTGTTTGGTTTTCTTAAAAGTATCTTTTGAAGAGCTGAAGTTTTTAATTTTGAGGAAGTCCAGTTCATCAATTCTTTGTTTTTACATTCCGTGCTATTTATTTGCTGACTAAGAAATCTTTGCCTACTCCTGATTCACAAAGATTTTCTTGTCTGTGCTATTTTATTGCATTATACTCCTAAGTTTTCTATTGAATTCTATGATCTCACTTGAGTTAGTATTTTTCTGTGTGGGGCGAAGTAGAAGTCAATGTTGACCATTTTCTTTGTATTTAGACTACTTAGCGTTGACTGAATCTCTTAGTCAATGTTTTTCAACACATTTGTGTAATTTTCACCCATTATTTCTTCAGATTTTTTCTGCTTCATTTGTATTCTCCTCTTCTTCTGGGACTTAATTACACATATATTAGGCTTGCTGCTATTATCCCACTATTCTGTAGGTTGAGTTAATCTTTCTTCAACTTTTTTCTCTCTGCACTTCCTGTAAGATAATTTCAACAGATCAGTATAGGAATTTACTTATTCTTTCTTTTCCAATCTTCACTTTGCTGTTAAGACAACTCAATAAATTTTTCATTTCAGGTGTTAAACTTTTCAGTTTAAGAATTTCAATTTGGTTCTCTTTGAGTCTCCTTATCTGTTCGTTTATCCAGATGAATTTGCTTATAATTATGCGAACATTTTATTTCAGATTTTTGCAAATATTTATGGGTTGCCTTAAAGACTTTGCTAAATACAATACTGGGCTATCCCAGCATGAATTTCTACTGGCTGCTTTTTATTTTTTCTCTTGTAATTGATTTCTATTCTCATACTTGGTATGATTTCAATCTTCTTAAATTTGCTAAGAGTTGGTTTATAACCTAATGTATGTGGATTATTATTCAGCTATGAAAAGAGAAGGAAATCTTGCCACTTGCAACAACATGGATGAAACTTTAGGGCATCATGCTAAGAGAAATAAGTCAGACAGAGGAAGACAAATACTGTATGATGTTACTTATATGTAGAATCTAAAAGTCAAACTCATAGAAACAGAGAGTAGATAGGTGGTTACCAGGGGTAGTGGGTAGGAGAGATGGGGACATATTGGTCAGAGGGTACAAACTTCTAGGTATAAAGTGAATAAGTTCTCAGGATCTAACGTGCAGCCTGGTGACTGTGGTTAATAATACTGTATTACATACTTGAAAGTTTCTAAGAGAGTGGATCTTAAATGTTCTCATCACACACACAAAAACAGATAATTATGTGAGATACTAGAGGTAACTAATCTTATTGTGGCAATCATTTCACAATATATACATATATTGAATCATCCCATTGGACACCTAAAGTTACATGATGTTATGCGTCAGTTATATCTAAATAAAGCTAGAAAAAACCTCTCAGACTCATATCTTTTTCCTGAATCACGTTGAGGCTTAGTTCCAGGCTGTGTTAGGATGGGTCTAGAGCTGTCATTAGTCTGTTGTACGATGTTTACTCCTCATATTCAATCTCTCTGCTTTGTTAGTTTGATACCCAGGTGCTAGAGATGTGTCTCTATTCTAGTAACATCCAACGTTGCCAGCACTGTTTGTTCTCTTGTACCTCTGTTCTGTTCTCAACCCCGTAGCAGCTGTTCTGTGGCAGGCTTCATTTTATCTCACCTCCTATATGTGCAACCCAGGACTCACCAACGAATGGGGCCCCCTCAGTGTTCTCCCTTCTCTTTAGAGTCAGTGTCAAGAAAACTGATTCTTACCCCTTTGGCCCAGTGTGACTGCCATGCTCTGATTTGACACCTGCTTACTAGCCTGCAGTCAGGAAATCCTCCTAGGTAGCGATGTGGGGTGATTATAAAGCCCACCTTCTGAGTTGCCTTCTATCATGGATTTATGCTGATGCTGCCTATTGTCCAAAGCCTGGACACTGTCACCTCATGTTACTTTATTGAGTTTTGTTGTTGCTTACAGTGCCGGGCCACTCCGTAATCATCAGAAACAGAAGTCAACAGTTATATTTTAAATATTGATTTTAGATATTTAATTTCTTTAGGTGATATTTACTGTCGCTTAGAATAGATTTAATCCACTTAGAGTAGATTTAATTTACTATTCATTACTTTTTGCTCAATGCATGTCCCTACTTAAGTAACGTTGGTCTGAAATCCACACATTAAAAATGTAACAATAAGAAAATATAGTTTGAGAATAATGAGATGTACCTACAAATCAAATGAATGAGACTAGATATTCCACAACAGCTGGGAATAGGGGAGACCCTTGCATATATTGGTATTTTTGTGCAAATCACTAATGGTGCTTCCTCCAGAGAAACCAGTGATTCAAATGTTCCCCTTCTGGGCATACAGTTACAAAAAGGAATTCTTTTCTGTGTATCTTTGAACATAGGCTGTGGAACCAACCCGCATAATCTTAGACATAGCCATAGTTAGAGCCTTGTTTTCTGGAAATCACAATCATAATGTAGATCCCATGTTGATGAGGCCCTGTGTGTACCACCCGGTGTGCCTCACATGCACAAATCAACCATCATCAAATAGCTCACGTCTGAATTAAAAAGGCCATATCTGACACTTTGGCAGACAGTGCCCTTTAAAAAAGAAATTTTATGTATTTGCTTTATGGATGTTAGAGATGCAAATTATAGTATTTTTTAAAAATACAGAACAGTACAAGAAGAAATGTTTTAAAAAGAAAGCCACTTAATCTACAACTCAGATATAAAACACATATATTGTGGGGTATTTCTACTGAATCTATTGTTGAAATGAAAATCTCAGCTTTTACAAAATCAATGTCAACATCACTTAATTGATTGATAGGAGGGTTCTTCACTTCACCTTCCAGATTTAAATTAAAAGTGACTACTCTTTTCTTGCTTTTCTGGTCTTGATAACCTTGGAGGAGAGATTAAAAAAAAGACGTAATGAGATTCTAGCAATTGACATGAGGCTCTGCTTATATTTCTCCCTTTTCCCACAGTGTCTCACTTATCTAAGGGCCAATCATTCCCACTTGAACCCTCTCTGAGGCTATTCTTTCTTTCTTACCAATCTCTTTTACTACATTACCACCTTTTGAGTTTTTCCCCATGATCATGGTCTGGAGCCTGTAAAGAAATATTTTCTCATTTTCACATTTGAACAGAGTAGGAGTTCCACGAAAGAAGTGAGAGAAAACCACAGGAGAGAGAGAATGGCTTATTCAAAGGCTTATTAAATGCAAGGCATTGTGGGAGGTCCTAGTTAGGCAGCATGTTGGGAGGGGTTACAGTAGATAAAAGTTTTTCATGGTGCAACCACTGTTCTTAGATTAGAGTACAAGGATTGTTGAGGGAATTCGAGAAGTAGAATAAATTGTGTGCATATGCATGTCTGTGTGCCTGATTATGTTAGTATTTTCATTTGAATCATTTGTATTTAAATTTAGCTTTGATTAGTGTTATCAATAAACCCATAGCAGGCCTCTGTGTTGTGTGGTTTTTGGGGTATGAGAGAGACAGTGTGATGCCATTTAGAGTCAACCACAACTTTTCCCTGTTGGCCAGGATGCGCATTTCAGCAAAGGACGGGCACCGTGTGCTCTTAGATGAAGTTTATTCCAAGACTCTGGGACTCCTTTTATAATTTGTCTGGTATGAAGAGTCGACACTCCTCCTCGCTAAACTTCTTTTTGATGCTTATTATACATATTTCAGTTTTCCTTTGAAAACTCTGTTCATTTCTTTTCATTCTCATGGTAGAAGCCTTTCACCTCTGGCCACTCCCAAATACACATTCATCTTTTCCATAGCTTTACCCTCATCTGTCTGATCTTCTCATTCATCTTGCCTAAGAATCTACATTCTGGAGCCAGCCAGTCTGGGTTGAAACCTCAGTTCCACCACTTACTGGTTGTGAAAATTATAAGCATCAGTATCTATATCTATGAAATAGGAATGATGATCATATCTTCATTATTGTCTCTTGTAAGGATTAGTTAAGCTAAAATACTTACAATACTTGGAATATTTCCTAGTATATAGTGAGTGCTCAGTGTTTTCTATTGGTATAAATGTAAACGTTATTATATGGTTATTTCCTTCAAGGAATATCATCCAAACTCATAACTTAAACAATTATCTCTGAACTGAAAAATACATACATCTCTAGCACAAATTACTTTTTTATTCCAGATCTACAAATATCCATATTGATGTGTAGATATTTCTTGGATATCTAATAGACACTTCAAATTCATCCTGCCCAAGAAAGAACACATTTTCATTCCCTGGATCACGTTCTTCTGCATTTTCAACCTTAGTGAATAGTAACACCATTCATGCAGTTGCATATATAATATTCTTGAATCATCCTTGAATGTTCCTTGAATCCTCTTTCTCTTTACCATCGTCAGTTAATTAGTCACAAAATCATGAGTCTCAACCTTCAAAAAGTCCATTTTCTCTGCTATTAATCCAAGCCCTCCTAGTGTTTCCCCTTCGTAAGTAGATTTCTAAAATTGGTGTCCTGGTAAACTAGCTCTGCAACTTTAAAAAGTCCTGATTTCTAGGATTTGCACATTTTTATGTTATAACTAATTCCACCATGGCTGATTTCAATCTGCCAAAGATTTAACAAACAGCTCGTATAATTCCTGAATATTTAACCGTCAGCTCTCTTTTGTTAGGAAATCACTGCATCCAGCAGCCCGCTGTTTCCAGTCAATCTCTCTTCCTCCAAACCTAATCACTCTCTAATGCATTGCTCTAGATGTTTACCAGGATATTTTTTGCTAAATTGTTAAAGTGATCAAGCATTCTTCTGCAGAAAATCTCTTGTTACTTATTTTCACAACGAATTTTCATTTCTTTATTTCAGACAAAAGGCTACATGTCTGTCACTTTTTTTTAACCCTCTGGTCTCCTCTTTCCACATTACTGAATTTCAGTTGTATGAAACTCTTTATACTATTTGGGATATTTGCATGTGTCATTTCCTTTGCTTAGAACTCTTTCCAATGTCTTTACCTTGTTAAGAAAAATGATACATAATGCAGATTAATTTCTTACTATGTGTAAGGGCAGTGAGATAAGTAACGTGGAAATAGTGTCTCATTAACTTTTAAGCCAACCCTATGATGTAGAGATTTTTACCATTTTAGAGGACTAATTAAACTTTTCTCCAATATCAGGCAACTAGTGAGTGCTGAAGCCAAGATTCAAATCAAGTTTGTCCTAATCAAAATCCTGCTCTTGACCACTATATTAAATTATTTCCTTACCCTGCTAATTTATAGAAACCTTTTAATCAATTAGCACAAATATCATATCCTTTCAAAACCTATATGTATGCCATTTCCTTAATGTCCTTTTAACAATCCTCCACTTACAAATGAATGCAAGGGCATTGTTTGTGTTCTCCTCCCACCTGCTGAACTCTCTGTGTAAGAAAACAGGATCTGGTGCTCTAAAAACCTAAACAAAATTATTTGCCTCTTCGTCAAACAAATGATCCTCTAACCAATTCCCACTTCAATGAAACTGTGATTTCTACATGTCAGTTTCAGCTTCTGATCTGTTGTTCTCAGTTGAAAGAAGAAAGGGGGTGTTCATCTCCTTCCTCGAACTTGATATTGTGTGATTTTCCAATCCCCGCTACATCCATCCTTCCTGTGTTATCCTGTGTCTCATAACTTGTATTCTTCTTATTCACTCTTTTCTGTAAAAGATTAACATCCAGTTTCTGAGAGCATGTTAGTAACTGCCATATGTGTGAGAAAGAGTCTTCTGATGGAGTAAATACCATATGTGTAATAGTATCAGCAGGTAGAGATACACATGTAGCTTGGCCTAGGTCATCTAAGAAGGCCCTCCTTTTATTACCCTGCTTTTCTTAAGCCTTTTCTACTCTAAGCGTTTTTCTGTCTGGTAATTCTAGAACAATGAATTATCTTTCTGTTTCTTCTGATCTCACCTTCAGTGCAGTTGAGATTACTTAAAGCATCTGGGTATAGAGGAAGCAGAAATCTTTGGTGGATTTCTTTGGCTTGAGCCTTATACAGAAATAAAAGAATATCCATTACAATTATTCTTTCAGTAGATCATAAGGAATTTTATAAAAAGCAAACTTCTATAACTCACTAATTCTTTTTCAACCTTTCTCATTCACTTGTCCCCATTGAATAGCTCACTGAACACACACTCTATAGTCTTTCACATGCCTCAGCTATTACTGATCAATTCTATAGTTGCATTTATAAGCATGATCACTTAAAGAGAGTGTAAGAAAATAATGGAGGCAAAATTAAGGAGTTATCCTAGAAGACAGATATAATGGAATTATGTAGCAGTCAATCAGGTAAAATGTTAATAGAGTTCATAGCAGTTTGTAAATTTTGGTGGGGAGGAGAGGTAGAAATTGAATGCATTATACTAACTAGTACCCTGAATTTGGACATGGATATATCAGTAAAATTCTCTGTGACTTTTTATTTTTCGGTTTGTAAGTTGGAGGATTAAATTACCTTATTTTCCTCATACTGTGCAGTTCAATATTTCTCTGTTGTTCAATAATCTTTTCATGAATAAATGAATAAGAGGAGACAGCACTGACTGGTTAGATCATATGACTAGTATTGAATGTATGGGGGTCTGGGTATGCTTTTTCCTACTCTACAGCGTTAGCCAGCCTGGTGCAAGGGGACGGATAGTAACAACACATGCATGCTGCCTCAGTAGTTTTTGTACTCATTCCTGTGCAGTGAGCATGTCCTTCTCATCTTCTGGATCCCATGTACCTCAGTCAAACTCTCTCCCAACTCCGTTCCCCTATCATTTCCTTTGAAAAAAGTCTAAGATTTTCTTGATGTTGACTGGTTGGTCATGTACTTTAAAAGATCTGTTAAAATTACAGAAACCAGTGAAAGAAAATATGATATGGATTTGTGAGGTGACAAAATGGCAATAGTATCCTTTGAATTTTGAAAAATTTTGTTTTTGCCCAGTGATTTTATAAGAGGGTAAGTTCTTTACACCTCTGAGAGGTAGGTTTTTATGTTAACTACTGCTATTTCTTTGTTACTAGAGGGGATGATGTTCACAGAGCAAATAGTCTTAATAGAACAGGCACTTTAAGTGGTCAAATGCAAATATTTTTAAATAAACCACAATTCTTAAGTTATTATTTTGTCATTTTCTAGCATTTCTAATGTACTGGAAGTCTCAGCCTCTCATCAAATCCTTCTGTCTTTCATTCTTTATCCTCACCCCAAATACACCCTCCAACACACATCAATACCCATTATAAGAAAGAGGATGCCTGAAATTGTCAGCTTATTTGCATCTGAAGTACCACCATTGCAATGGATACTGAGCAGCAAATTGGGAAAGGGATGTATCACCTATGACCAAGTCAGGGTTCTAGTCAAGGTTGAGGATGGTGCAGAGACAGTGAGAGTGAGGATTTCTTCCTCATTACCTTTCACTTTTCAATTTTAAGGATTTTTAACAAGGCTTTTAAGTTCTCCTAAGTCTTTGTCTTTGAATGATTCTATTAGTTTGTCAGCACAAGTGGCTCCTTGGAACTTTACTGCCACCACGTCAGTAATCTTAATTTTACTACGGTTTTTTTTTTTTTTTTTGAGTTTTTGTAGTCAGTTTTAAATCATTGGCCAACAAAGACTTACTGCAATTTCAGGGTACTTTTGCCTATTCTTGCCCCATCCCTTCCCCACTGTGGTGCTGCATGGTCAGGAAGAAGCTGTCCAATTCCTAGTTACTCCCTCGAAATGAAAGGAAAAGAGTGAAACACCTTCAGTATTCTGGCTTGTGTAGGGGATCCTCAAGGAATTTGTTTCTGTCTCATCTGATTTGGAATATGATGAGGATGGTAGCATAGTTTGGATATCAGAGTTGAGGTCACTAAAAGCAATGGTGGGTGCCCCAGCACATGAGAGCTACATGAGGACTACAGACCCACAGGCACCAGGGGGCAAGACATCATGGACAAAGGAATATAATATATCATTCAACCTGAGTGAGAGTCTTGGGGAAATAAAGACATTTAAAACCAGCTTTGTTTGAGGGAGAATTGGAAGGAAAGCACATGCACAAGCCCAGGGAAAACATATGTCTTAAATTGGCCTTGAATATCTTGAATCTTCACATTAAGCTGAATAATGAAGATCTTCCCCTACCTTGCGGCAATACACAAAAACTAGGGGAAGTGATTGTCTTTTCAGATGTCCAATTTTCAAAAAAGATCATAAGGCATACAATGAAACAGGAAAACATGGCTCAATCAAAGGAAAAAAATAAATCTCCAGAAACTTACCCTAAAGATACACGGGCCTCAGAGTTATTTTAAAAAGACCTTAAAACAGCTGTCTTAAATATAACCAGTGAGCTAAAGGAGAAAATGGATAGACAATTAAATGAAAATAGGAAAAGGATAAATGAACAAAATGAGAATATCAACAGCTGTATTGTTAGAAATATAAAAAAGAACTTATAGAAATTATAAAGAGAAATTATAAAAGAGATAGAAATTGTTAAAAAGAATCAAACAAAATTTCTAGAGCTGAAAAACACAAAATTGAGTTGAAAAATTGTCAGAGAGGTACAATAGCACACATGAACAGGAAGTAGAATCAGTGAACTTGAAGACAAGTTATATTAAATTATCAAGACTGAGAAGCAAAAAGAAAAAAGAATTAGGGAAAGTGAACAGACCCCAAGAGACTTATAGGATATCATCAAGCAGGTCAATTTTGAACTGCCAACATTATGGCAATTCAAAAAGGAGAAGAGAAAGAGAAAGGAGTAGAGAGATTTTTTTGAAGAAATATTGACTGAAAACTTCCCAAATTTGAGGAACGACATGGGTATACAAATACAAGAAGCTTAACAAGCTCCACATAAGATAAACCCAAGGGGACATACACCAAGACATATTATAAGCAAACTATCAAAAGTCAAAGTTGCCAAGAGAGTAAATCTTAAAGTTCACATCACAAGAAAAAATACTTGTAAATTTACCTGATGATGGCTGATAACTAGACTTATTGTGGTGATCATTTTGCAGTGTTTACAAATATCAAATCATTATGCTGTACATCTGAAACTAGTATAATGTTATATGCAAATATATATGAATTAAAAAAATTCCAAAGACAAAGAAAGAATCTTGAAAGCAACAAGCAAAAGGCAACTCATCACTTACAGGAGAGCCTCAATAAGATTATCAGCAGCTTTCTCAACATAAACCTTGCAGACCAGAAGGTAGTGGAATGATATATTAAAGGTGTGGAAAAAAACCTGTCAACTAAGTTTACTATATCTTGCAAATTTGTCTTTCATAAATGTGGGAGAAATCAAAGTATTACTAGATAAACGTAAGCTGAAGGAACTTATTATAACTAGACCTGCCCTACGTAAAAAGCTAAAGGGAGTCCTTCAAGTTGAAGCAAAGGATACTAGATGGTAACTGGAACCATATAAAAATATAAAGTTCTCAGCCACAGATAAATATATGGACAAACATAAAAACTATACTATAACAACTTGATCTATAGCTCTATTTTTTATTATTTTGTAGGACTTAAAAGGTGGAAACATAAAAATTATAAACTATATTAATGTAGACACAGTATGTTAGGATATAATTTGTGACATCAATAACAAAATATGAGTGAGTTAGAGCTCTAAAGGAGTAAAATTTTTGTATGTGATTGAAGTTAAGTTGTTATCAGTTGAAAGTAGATTGCTATAACTTTGAGATGTTTCCTGTAATCCCCATGGCAACCACAAAATAACTATTGAATATATACAAAAAGAAATGGGAAAAGAATCAAAATATATCACTACAAAAAATCATCTAAACACAAAGGATGGTGATAAGGGAGGAAATGAGGTACAAAAAAGCTTTAAGACATATATAAAACAAATAAACTAGCAATTGTAAGTTTTTCCATATCATTAATTACTTTAAATATAAATAGATTAAACTAATTGGTGGAATAAAATGGATTAAACAATCAAAAAATATTATTGGTAGAATGAAAAAAAAACCAGGATCCAACTAAATGCTGTCTATAAGAGACCCAATTTAGGTTGCAAACAAAGAATGGAAAAAGATATTCCATACAAACAATAACCAAAAGAAAGCAGAGGTGGCTATATCAGACAAAATGAAGTTTAAAATGAAAGCTGTTATAAGAGAAAAAGGAGGATGTTGTATAATGATAAAAGGGTCAATTTACCAAGAACATATAACAATTATAAACATATATGCTCCAAACAACAGAACTCCTATATATAGGAAGCAAACATTGACAGCATTGAAGGGAGAAGGAGACAGCTCTACAATAACAGTAGCAGACTTTGGTACACAATTTTCAATAATGAAATAAGCTACCAGAAAGAAGATCAATAAGAAAATAGAGATCTTGAAAATTAGACCTAAGAAATACATACAGAACACTCCACCAAACAATAGCAAAATACATATTTTTCTCAAGTGCACCTGGAACATTATCCAGAATACATCATAAGTTAGACCACAAATCAAGCATTAATACATTTTAAAAGTTTGAATCATGTAAAGTATCTTTTCCAATCAAAATGGAATAAAATTAGAAATCAGTAGCAGAAAGAAAACTGGAAAATTCATGACCATGTGGAATTTAAACAGCACACTCTTGTTAATTAATTAAATAATTTATTTTTGGTGGGGAAGATCGGCCCTTGCTAACATCTGCTGCCAGTTTTCTTCTCTTTCGCTTGAGGAAGATTGTTACTGAGTTTACATCTGTGCCAATCTTCCCCTATTTTTTGTATGTGGCATGCCACCAGATCGTCGCTTGACAAGTGGTGTGTAGGTCTTCACCTGGGATCCAAACCTGTGAACCCTGGGCGAATGAAGCAGAGCGTGTGAACTTAACTACTACACCACCGGCCGGCCCCTAAACAGCACATTCTTAAACAACCAATGGATCAAAAAGAAATCATAAGGAAAATTACAAAATATCTTTAGAGAAATGAAAGCACATAATGTCATTTCACCAGATGCAGTGAAAACAATGCTGAGAGGAAAAATTATAGCTGCAAACCCTTACATTTACAAAGAAGAAAGATTTCAAATCAACAACTTAACTTTACACTTCAAAGAACTAGAAAAAGAAGAATAAACTCAAAGCTAGCAGAAGGGAAGAAATAAAAATTAGAGTAGAGATAAACAAAATAGAGATTAGAAAATAATAGAGAAAAATCAATGAAAATAAGCATTTCTTAAATGATAAACAAAATTGGCAAATCTTTAGCTAGACAAAGTAAGTAAAATGGAGAAAAGACACCAATAAATAAAATCAGTGATGAAAGAGGGCTATTACAACTGATATCACAGGAATAAAAAGGATTATAAGAGGCTACTATGAACAACTGTATACCAACAAAATGGATAATCTAGATGAAATGGATAAATTCCTGGAACTACATAACCTTTCCAGACTGAATCATGAAGAAATAGAAAATCTCAACAGACCAACAATAGATAAAATTGAATTAGAAATCAAAAATTTCTCAACAAAGAAAAGTCCAGGATAGGATGATTTTACTAGTGAAATCTACCATTTAAAGAATAATTGACAACAATCTACCTCAAACTCTTCCAAAAGAATACAGAAGAGGGAAGGCTTCAAACTCTTTGTGAGGCCAGAATTACCTTGATACAAAACCTGACAGAGACACTACCAGAAAAGAAAATAGCAGACCAATATCTCTGATGAATGTTGATGCTAAAATTCTCAATAATATACTAATAAACAGAATGCAATATCACATTAAAAGGATCATATGCCATGACCAAGTTGGATTTATGCCAGGAATGAAAGGATAGTTCATCATATGAAAATCAATAAATGCGATAAGCCATATTAACAGAATAAAGGATAAAAATCACATTATCATCTCAATAAATGCAGTAAAAACATTTGTCAAAATTCAATACCCTTTCATGATAAAAACTCTCAACAAATTGGATATAGTATGAAACTACTTCAATAAAGGTTATATTTGACAATCCCACAGCCAACGTTATAGTCAATTGTAAAAAAACTGAAAGCATTTCTCTAAGTTCAAGAACAAGACAAGGATGCCCACTCTTACCATTTCTGTTCAACATATTACTGGAGCTGTAGCCAGAGCAAATAGGTAAAAAGTAGAAAAAAGAAAAAAACATGCATATTGGAAAGAAAGATGCAATATTATCTGTGTTTGCAGACATCATGATCCTATGTGCAGGAAACTTTAAAGATGCCACCAAAAAAACTTGTTGGCAGTAATAAACAAATTCAGTAATGTTGCTGGATACAAACTCAACATACAAATATCAGTTGTTTTTCTTATACACTAACAATGAAACATCCAAAAAGGAAATTAGGAAAACAATGAGTGCAATAGCATCAAAAAGAATAAAACACTTAGGAATAAATTTAACCAAGTGCACAAAAGACTTGTACACTGAAAAACATTGAAGAAAGAAATTAAAGGGGAAACAAATACATGGAAAGACATTTCATATTCATGGACTGAAAGGCCTAATATTGTTAAAATGTCCCTACTACCCAACACTATCTACAGATTCAACAATATCTCTATCAAAATTCCAATGGCATCTTCTACAGAATTGAAAAAAAAAAATCCTAAAATTTGTATAAAACCTCAAAAGGCTCAGAATAGCCAAAGCAATTTGGAAAAATAACCCACAAAACTGGAAGCATCATACTGCTTGACTTCAAAAAATATTACAAAGCTATAGTGATTAAAACAGTACAACACTGTGATAACAACAGGCCATCAAACAAATGGAACAGAATAGAGAATCCAGAAATAAACCCACAAATATGCAGTCAACTGATCTTTGACAAAGGTGTAAAGAATACACAATGGATAAAGCAAGGTCTCTTCCACAAATGGTATTGCGGAGACTAAATATCCATGCAAAAAAAACATAATTGGACCTCTACCTTACATGATACACAAAAATCAACTCAAAACAATATGATCCAATATGAAGAACACCCTAAAGTTTCCACTATTACAACTAATAAATAAATTCAGCAAAGTTGCAGGACAAAAAGTCAACACACACAAATCAGTTCCATTTTTACATACTAAAAAGGAAATTAAGAAACAATCCCATTTGCAATGGAATTTTGAACAAAATGAAATACTCAGGAATAAATTTAATCAAGAAAGCAAAAGAATGGTACATGAAAATTACAATATGTTGATGAAAGTAACTAAAGAAGACAGAAGTACACGAAAAGTCATCCTATGTTCATGCATTGGAAGAGTTAATATTGTCAATGTGCCAATACTACCCAAAGTGATCTTCAGATTCAATGCAATCCCTCTCAAAATCCCAATGACATTTTTTTTACAGATATAGGAAAATACATCCTAAAATTTGTATAGAATCTCCAAGATTCCAAATAGCCAAAACAATCATGATAAAGAAGAACAAATTTGGAGGTCTCACACGTCCTGATTTCAATCAAAACAATGTGGTACTTGCATAAAGACAGACATAAAAGACACCAATGCAATAGAATAGAGAACATAGAAATAAACCCTCATATATCTGGTAGAATGTCTTTGACCCAGATGTCAAGTCCATTTAATTGGGAAAGAACAGTCTTTTGAAAAATGGTGTTGGGCAATCAGGATAGTCACATGCAACAGAATGAAATTGGACAATTACCTACACCATATACAAAAATTAACTCAAATGGACCACAGATTTAAACATAAGATCTAAAACTGTAAAACTTTCAGAAGAAAATATCAAAGAAAAACTTCATGACATTGGATTTGGCAATTATTTCTTTGATATGACACCCAGTGCACATTCAGGAAAATAAAAACTAGATGAATTGGACTACATCAAAATTAAAAGCTTCTGTGCATCAAAGTACACAATCAATGAAATGGAAGGGAAACCTATGAAATGAAAAACAGTATTTGCAAGTTGTATATCTGAAGGACTAATATCTGAAATATATAAAGAACTCATACGACCCAATGGAAAAAAACAAGTACTCTAATTAAAAAGTGGGCAAAGAACTTGAGTGGACAGTTATTCAAAGATGTTATACCAATGGACAGTAAGGACATGAGACTCAATAATCATTAAAGAAATTCAAATCAAAACACAGTGGTATACCACATTACATCCACTAGGATGGATACTATTACAAAACCAGAAAATGGCAAGTGTTAGGGGAGAAATCAGAAGACTAGTGCATTGTTGGTGGGAATGTAAAATGTTCCAGCTGCTATGGAAAATGATATGGAGATTCCTCAAAAAAAAAAAAGAAAATAGAATTATTATGATACAGTAATTCCACTTCTAGGTATATATCCCAAAGAAGTGAAAGTAGCATCTCAAAAAAATATTTACACATCCATGTTCACTGCAGCATTATTCACAACAGCCAAAAGGTTGAAGAAATACAAGTGGCCGCCAATAAATAAATGAATATTTATCATTATAAATAAATGATATATACACACAATGGAATATTATTCCACCTTCCAAAGAAAAGAAATTCTAACATACACTATAACATGGATGAACTTTGAGAACATTGTGCTAAGTGAAACAAGTTAGTCACAAAAAGAAAAATACTGTATGATTACACTTACATGAGGTACCTAGAGTATCCAAATTCATAGAGACAGAAAATACTGTTTCTGGGGTTTGCCGGGGCCTTGGAGGAGAAGGAATGGGGAAATTACTGTTTAGTGGGTATACAGTTTCAGTTCTGCAAGATGGAAAAAGGTCTGGCAATTGGTTGCACAACACTGTAAATGTACTTAACACTACTGAACCGTATACTTAAAAATTGTTAAGATGGTAAATTTTATGTTAGATATATTTTACCACAATTAAACAAAATATAACTGTTTTCATACTATAAGCTCCAGGAGTTTTGCAACACATAGATTCAGACCAACAACTCTTCGGGAAGAATTATTCAGTGAGAAAAGAAATAAATCTAAGAAATGTTGGAGGCCAAAAGGGAAACAGGACTGAACAAATACCTTCATTAGGGGGTCTTACAAAAATAAGTAAAGCCAGAACCAAAGAGAAGAAAACAGCGAATTTATCAACATAGTAGGGTTGGAGGTTGGGGGACCAGAGGATATAAAAGTTTGCTAAGGCACTTGTCTTTAAGGAAAAGATAGATAAAATTTTTTAAAGAAAAATTTGGCAAGAAAGGAGAAGAAAGCACAAATAAGTGTTACAAATTGAAATAAACTAAGATGGCAGAACCAAGTTAAATAATATACATAAAATATGTACATAAATGGACTAAACTCACCAGCTAAGACACAAATTCTTTCAATTTGGGTTAAAAATAAACCCAGCTATATGTGGCTGATAAAATATACACAAAGTATAAAGTCACTTAAAAAAAGTTGGAAAAAGTGATCTTATCTAAACCCTAATGTAAAGAAAGTCAGTTTAGATATAACAGTGTAGCTTAAAAAAGATTTTTAGAAAAAATGTATCAGGACAGATAGAGCTTCACTACCTAGTGACAAGATATTCAGCTCCCAAGAAAATACAATTTAAATTATGTATTTACATAATAAAAAATATATATGTAATTTATTTATATTACTTGATATGGTAACATATAATACATTTTTCTTTATTTACAAATATACACACAAAATATATGTCTACTTGTATATATATGCAAACTATTTATAAAAAAAAATATATGTTAGAAATCAAAACTATAATGAGAAATTGACAAAATCTCCATTAGAGTTTGAGATTTCACCATCTCTCTCTCAATTGCTGAAAGGAAAATGTAAAACAAATTAAGATTTAAATTTAGAAGATTTGACTAACAATCAACAAGCTTAAGAAATTTTATCTGACTCACAGGATTATGAATTAAATATTAAATATTTATAAACTCTTCAAGTACACATGAAATAACTAGAAAATATTCATCATGTGCCAGGTCATAAAAAACCCAAAATATACCCCCAAATGAATGTAATACATTTAAGTGACTCTTCCCGCCTCTTCTTTGTATCTTGGTACCAAAAAAAGTTATCCACGACTGAATAAAGAATGGACCAACTGGAAAGGATTGAAATAAATGCCTGTGACTCTTTAGAATGAAACATAAAATAAAATTAAACTGACTCATGAAAAAGCAAAGAAGCCATATTTTTGTGCCATTGTGTTGGGGAATTGAGAGATTATCTCCTGTGCATATTCTAAAATTGGGATAATACCATAAATATCATGTAATATAGCTTTACATCCTGCTTTATTTTTTACTTAATATTATTTCATGATAATTTTCTCATGCTACCCTCTTGTCTTTTACCCAGGCCTGACACCAGTCACCACGTTTCCCACTCATCCTCCAGGTAAGAAAACAAGCCTTCCTCCAAATATCAATTTATGCTGATAGACATGTGAGAATGAATTTTAAAACTCATCATAGTGAACATGCATTTCCCTTTGTTCAAGCCTAAGTTGTGGTGGAATAAAAGATGTCTATTTTCAGTGTTGATGGGTAAAGGATTAGAATCAAGCTACTTTAGTTTTCAGTTTTCTGAATATTGTTGATACAGCCCTTATTCTCCCAGACAATCCCATAATTCATTCTCCACTGTCGTCTTGTGTTAACAACTAGGTACCCAGCTCTTTCTCTAGAGAAGTTCCCACAGATCTCACCTCACTGGATACTTCTTCCACAGCAGTCTTCAGAAATGCAGGTATCATTGTCTTGCCTGAATAAAAAGATATGTCAGAAAAAACTCTGCAAAGACTGAACTTCAGGATGTTATAATCTCGTGAAGAATTGAGAAGATGAAGTATTCTGAAAGATAAGGAAAAATGGCACTAGTTAGAGTCACTGAAAAACTCACTTGCTGATGTCCGTGTCACCCTCTGCTAACTTCTAAGGAGAAAGAAGTTATGTATTTATGAAACAATTTTGAAGCTCCACCTGTCAAACTTTGTAACTTTCTGTTTCAGTAGTCAGAGAAATTGAACATTTCCCGTTTGTAAACAGTAATCTTAGCCACAAGAAGAAATGATAGTTAAGTGCTCCATCTTTGCTTTTTTGACTTAAAAATATCAGTGGCTGAAAGGAGTGTGAACATAAGAATTTTCTTATTCAGCTGACTTACATGTGGGTCGTTAGAAACCTGTAGCCTGGAATGAGGCTTAATACATCACGTGAGAAAACTGAGTCACCCAGCCTCTTCTCCTGCTTTCCTGTTAGAACAGCAGTGGACAGAGGAGATATTAGTAAAGGCATATATCACTGCTAGTACCTCACTGCATCTCCTGGAATGGGGAGGGTCTTCTAGGAAATTGCTTTTGTTTAAACGGTACATCAGCATTCATCCAATTATTAATAACTGGCAAACTGGAAGCTTGACAAACATAGATGGTGATTATGAATATATAAATCCTTACTCAAATGTGTCAAAGGAGTTTGGCACTCGTTGCCCTTTTGACTATGCCTAGGGTGCATTATCTCAATGATTAAAATCGTGATTATTTATGCTTTCTGCATTATTCATGGATAAATACAAATCAGTGATGATCACGTATTATGACAGTATTGAAGCTTTGAAAATTCTGGAAGAGCACTAAGCATCTAGAAGAGTAAAGGGCCTGAGAAATCCTTGTCCTTCAGGATTTTTCTGTGACATGGTGGATGCACTCTGGAGTATCATAAGCCCTGAGATATCAAATAAAAGGCACCAGTCAGCAGACAGTATTGTGGTAACCCACCAGCTCATCTGCAAGAAGAATGTGGCCATGACTGGAAGAAGAGTCCCAAAAGATAGCTATTGTAGCCAAATGATTCGAGGCCATCTACGAGAAGAAAAAAGCTGATTGTCTTAATCCAAATGCAACATCATAGAGGAAAAAGTTGAAGTTTAGATTTGAAACCATCTGAATAACTCCACTAAAGCAGGAGTAAGTTGGGAAAAATCAAGGAGGATCTGGAGTAATAGCCTACTTGTGTGTGTTCATTGTTCTCTTACAGACTTTAGTTTCCTGGTTATATGGATGCTTCAAGCTATCTTAAGTAAAGAGTAGACAGGAACATAAAGAGAGTTCACAGAGGGCCCCAATTCAAAGTTTGGAGACTAGAGGAACTCATGGCAGGAACGACCATGATAAGGACATATTTCTACCCTTTCTAAGAAACCAATTCATGTGATCTGATACCCTCTGTTGATTTTCCAGGAGACATCATGCAAATTGCTGACTCAAATAAAAGTAATCCCTAACAATACTCCCTTATCCAAACTGTGTAATTGGAATTTTAATAAATGGACTAAAGTAATGCTCAAAATTGTGTAGTTTTACTGATTTATGGGCAGTGGCCAAGTAAGAGGGGTTTTAGGTAATTATGTAAAAAGCTCGCTAGTAGAAAATGTGAGAACTCCCACAAACACAAGATGTCTAGATAAACTTGTGTGGCTTCCCATCATCTCAAGTTCTAATCCTCAAAGTCATTCAAAATCTTCAAGGAAGCGTTCCCGCCAGGCTGATACCCTAATAATTCAGTCTAGAAGATGGTCAGAAGTCTCCTAAGGAGAAGCACGAGAGCAAGAAGAGCAACCACACTAAGAAATAGCAGCCATGTTCTTTAAAGTCCATATTAGGCCCAAGGATAAAGGCATAGGTGTAAGGTCTGTAGTCCCAGAAAAGCAAATAGAAGGGGACAGTGTGTTGGGCATACTCAAATGAAAAGTCTTTGTCCATCTCCTTATCTCTAAAGACCAGAACAACATCTTTCAGTGTGGGAGCCTGAGCTGACCAAGACGATTTATGCATTCACCTAGTCATCACCCAACTAAACAATACACTTCCCTAGTTTTCCTTTGCAAGAAAATCAGTTTTTTGCTCATCCATAGTTGTCATCTGGGAGTGTGACCAGGATGATAATTCATTCAAGTTATATTTTAACTCTTAGCTAGATCTTGCACTATTTCTAAGCTCTGTTTTTATTTTATTTTTTTTAATCAAGTCACCCAATTCCATAAATGCTATTAAAGATCTTCTTCTCCTAAGGTAAAATCTGTGCATTAGCTTCCTATTGCTGCTATAACAACTTAGGACAAACTTGGTGGCTTAAAACAGGAGATATTTATTGTCCCACAGTTATGGAAGCCAGAAGTCCAAAATCAGTATCACTGTGTATTAGCCATGTTCCTAGCTTCTGTAAATTTGATACTTTAACATCTGCCCTACATGCTTATGCCAGACATATTTTGTTCTGGACAATCTAATATATGACTGAGTCACCTAACCTTGGCTTCCTGGTGCTCTCATCATGCCCTTTCATTTTTAGGTGGTGTCCTCCTCCGAGAGGTGCACTTTTCAAATGGCAACCAACCAACTCAGAATTTGTACACTCAACCACTTCCTTTATCAGGCTCTTGCCCTCTACTCTGGGCTACTGTACTCCTGCCCTAGTCACCCCAGGACCAGGTACCAGACAACTAGGGACAGCCCTGCACCCCAGAGCCTGCTGAAATTGTTCAAACTAGCCAATCCCAAACCTGCTTACCCTCCTTCGTGTGTTCCTTCCTGCAGAAACCACAATAAAGGCTCTTGCCCACAGTTTCCTTCCTCTCTCTCTGCCTCAGACTGAGCCCAGTGCTTTCTCCTTGTGGCTTTGGATGACACGGCATACCCTTTCCTCTTGGGAAGTGGGCATGAGAAACTATCTTTTCAGTGGCACTTGTATCCTGATCTGTTCACCCTACTATATCTCAAAATTTCTATTAATACAGTATATTTTAAACCACACAATGCTGAAATCAAGGTAAGACCACCTTCATTCCAGAGGCTTGAAGGGCGAATTGGTTCCTTGCCTCTTCTATCTTCTGATGGCTGTTGGTATTCCTGGACTCCAGTATTCAAGATCAAAACCTCCTATTTCTCCTTTGCCTTCATATCACCTTCTCCTCTGGTTGTATGTCAAATCTCCTCCTGTCTCCTTTTATAAGGGCACTTGCGATGGGATGTAGAGCCCACCAAGATAATCCAGGATAATCTTCCTATATCAAGATCCTCAATTTAATGAATCTGCAAAGATCTTTTTTCCAACCAAGGTAATAGTCACAGATCCCAGAGATCAGGACATGGACATATCTTTGGGAGCCATCATCAACCTACCTAAGCTGAAGAGAGAAAATCCTCCATGATCTGCACCACGTTCACTGATTCAGGTTTATTTCTCATCACCTGTTTTCTCCAAACGCCCTGCACTTTTTTCCTTATCTGAGATATCTCACCGTTCTAAGTTTAAACTATGATCACAGACACAAGAGAAGAAGCCATGTGATCAGGGGTGGTGCAGGTGGAGGGAGAGAGTGGGATGATGTGGCCACAAGCCAAGAAAGGCCAATACATCCACAATAAGTTGGAAGAGGCAAGAAAGGGATTTTACACTAAAGCTTTCAGAGGGAGCACAGCTCTGCTGATACTTGATTTTGGACTTTTGGCTTCCAAGACTATGAGAGAATAAATTTATCACCAAATTCATAGTAATTTGTTACAGCAGCTACAGGAAATAAAATCACCTTATCTATCAAAACATATGACTTATCAAAATCTGAAATTATCTCACATATTTATTTGTTGGTTTACTTATTATCTGCCCCTTTAATAAAATGTCAGTTATAAAAGAGCAAAGACTTTGTCTTATTTACCACAATTCTCCCAGTACCTACACACAGTCAGTACAGTGTCTAGCACATAGTAGGTGCTCAGTAAATCCTGGATAAATGAACTAATGAATGAACCAGTTATTCTGTGTTGTTCCAGGAGTAGGAAATACTGAGAAATAATTTGAAAGGAAGAGAGACAACTCAGATGTGCAGGGTCTCTGGTCTCCAGCAGATACTCCTAACTAAATCGATCCTAAACAGTTCAACTCCTTCAATAAACAAACAAACAAAGACTTCTTCTCCATCTCTTGTGCCATTATGCTTACAACCATATAAAAATATGATTTTATCTCATGCATATTTCCCAAAGAATACACTGGTCTCCATCTCTACTACAACGTCACTGATTCAAATTCTCACGACCTCTTTCTAGGACTGTTAGTGTTGTAACTGATCTCCTCGCCCCCAGCCCAAAGTTCTCAAATATACCTTCCATCATTTTAAGAATGATCTCTTAAAAAATTAGATAGTAACAGATTACTTTGATTGCCTGCACATAGTTTGTCTACATAATGCTTCCCCCACCCCGCCAAAATATTAGCCATCTAAATATTTGTGCTGGCCTGCTCTTCATCTCAAAGAGTGGACTATTATTTATCTAAGTCAATTAGGGAGGTCTAAATCCCCTTTCAGCAGTTGATTGAAGAATATCCGTGTAACCCAATTTTAGCTAATGGTGCCAGAATAGAAACCTGCTATAGGGGAATATCTGAAAAAGATTTTCTTTGCTAGTAAAGAGATGCCCAGGAAGAAATACATCTTTTTTTCCTGAGTATGTTTGTGTTTGCATTTGGTGTGAGATGTGAAATAGTTGGATTAAGAAGAAAAGAAGAAATGTTCCATAGAAGATATTATTGAACCAATGACCTAACTACCCCTGCCCCAGCTATAGAATTTTCTTACAAATTTCATTCTTTTTTTTCTTTTTATCTTACCCCCTTCATCCATTTATCTCATCCTCCATCCCCCACATCTGGCAACCACCAATTTGTTCTCTTCATCAATGAGCTTGTTTTTGTTTTTTCATTTTAGATTCCAACTATAAGAGAAATTACATGGTATTTGTCTTTGTCCGACTTATTTCACTTAGCATAATGCCCCCAATCTATCTATGTTGTTGCAAATGACAAGATTTTATTCTTGTTTAAGGCTGAATAATATTCCATTATATGTATAACACTTAGGCTCTTTCCATATCTTGGCTAATGTAAATAATCCGGCAATGAACATGGGGGTGCATATATCTTTTTGAATTAGTGTTTTTGTTTT